TGAGTACGCCCAGTAGCAAGCCTCTTGCTATGGGAGCACTCACGCAGGCTTGCTCCCAAGCTGTGCTACTGTGAATGGACATTGTCCATTCACACAGGGTGCGGCTTGGCCACACTCTCTTCTCATTGGCTCACTGGCTGTGAGCCAATGAGGAGTGAGAGACCCGGGACAGCCAAGGCTCACATGCACATCACTGGATTGAGATGGGGCTCAGGTAAGTATAAGGGGGGGCTGGGGAGCTGCATTAATGCATTAAGGTGAAAAACCTTCTGTAGAACCACTTTAACTTCATTTAGGGCCCATTTTCATCTATGTGGTGCTTTAATACAGACACAATAACATGCATTACTTATCTGAATCCTACATCGATTCAGCTCTGTGCCTGTCAGCAGGTCTTCTCCCCCCTCTCTCACAAGCAGGGGCAGACTGACCATTTGGAAACTCGGGCACTGCCCGAGGGCCCTGGGTCAGTATGGGGCCCCATGAGATGCCCCTGGTACCTTTTTAATAGTTTTTTTTGAGTTTGGGCAAGGACACAGGGGCCCCATGATCCCCTATTGCCCGAGGGCCCCATGAGTTGTCAGTCCGCCCCTGCTCACAAGCTTGGCTGACAGTAGCTAGAGTCATTGGCTCCTGCTGCTGCCAATCAAATCCTGTGCAGAGGGGAGTGAGGGGTGGCAGCCAAGCCACTCTGTGTGTGTCAATAGACACACAAAGTCCCGCTCGGGAGCGTACCTGCATGCCTGCCCCCATAGGAAGTGACTTCCTATGGTGGTACACACAGAGAAGAGGTGGAGCAGAGAACGCAAGTAAGGGACCCCAGAAGAGAAGATTTGGGGCCTCTCTGTGCAACCCTTGCACAGAGCTTGCAAGTATAACATCTTTTTTAATTTTAATGGAAAAAAAATAGACTTTACAACATCTTTAAAGTAGAACTGAAAGCACAACCTTGTTCTAATTTGGATAGAATAATGGTGGCCATACACACTTCGATTCATTTTATTTGATCAATGAATTGAAATTGCAAATCATCGAATAGACGTAGCTTCCCTTCCATTTGTTTTGACTCAATTTTCAACAGATTCAATTAAATTGAATTCATCAGCCAGTGCCGAAAATTATTGATTATTTTGTATTAATTGACAGCACTGAGATACTTTGTTCATGAACTATATTACAATCGATCAGATTATGAGATTACATGGTGTACACAGAGATGTGATTGACAATTTAAGATCATTATTTATGATTGTATCTTAACACTTGCCGTCCAGACGATTTACCCCCCTTCCTGACCAGGCCAGTTTTTGCATTACGGCACTGTGTTGCTTTAACTGACAATTGCGCGGTAATGCAACACTGCACCCAAATGAAATTTACATCCTTTTGTTACCACAAATTCAGCTTTCTTTCGATGGCATTTAATTGTCTGTATGGTTTTTATTTTTTGCGCTATAAAAAAAAAAAAGACTGACAATTTTGAAAAAAAAAACAATATTTTGGACTTTTTGCTATTAACCATGTCTAGTAAGAAAATTTAAAAAATCTAATTTTGTCATAAATTTAGGCCAAAATGTATTCCGTGACATGTCTTTGCCAGAAAAAAATCCCAATACGTGTAAATGAATTGGTTTACGTGAAAGTTATAGCCTTTACAAATGGCAATATAGATATTTTTTTCTACTAGTAATGACAGCGATCAGTGACTTATAGCAGGACTGCGGCGGACATTGTAACACTGGGGGGGGGGAACTGACTTGGTGTCACTGACATCCCCAGTGACACCAATACAGTGATCAGTGCTAAAAAAAAAGCACTGACACTGTACTAATGGCACTGAGCAGAAAGGGGTTAACAGGAGGGGCGATCAACGGGTTAACTGTGTGCAGGGAGTGTTTTACTAGGGGGCGATGTCTCTGTGCTTCACTGTAATCACACTGCTCTGGATGGTTGTGCTGTGCACAGCCATCCAGAGCAGTGCGCCCAAGCTGACTGGGAGAACTATTAGTAAACAAAACAGTCCTCCACCCCATTAAAGATGCTCAGTAATCACTGGGTGCTGGCGGGTAATCACCAGTCGGGACCCGGTGATCGACAGACGCGGTAGCGAATGGCGGCGAGGGTAGGACACGCTCATGGTTCACGCACGGCCCCTACCCGGAAATAAAAAAATCACGTATATATATGTGATTTTGCACACCCCTGCTGCCCTGTAACAATATATCTGCGGCAGGAAAGCGGTTAAAGTGGTAGTATACCGCAACAAAAAAGAGAAAAAATTGAGCCCTCTGCAGGTTTAAATGATAATGTACTAATCTGCACTGCATACTAGAGCATTACAACAGACTTACCTGCACATGGAGCCCTGCAGCGCAGTGCTGTCACAGCTCCCCAGCGCTCCCATCTTCACCCGGTCTTCTTTCTTAATTCACAGGCTCTGGCTGTATTAATGGTGCATGCTCATGGGAGCCTTAACTATGGCACGGCACTCTGCATTTATGGCACACAGTATGCCCTGAATATACAGCGTCATGTGCATTATTGCCAATGTGAATATCTCTCAAAAAGTATACATTTAGGACATATTCATTGTACTTACAGGTAAGCCTGATGTTAAGCTTGCCTGAAGGTACAAGTTAAAAAACAGAGTTTGCTACCACTTTAATTGTCAATTGAAATCTACTTCCTTGCATGTGGCATATCATGGGTTGTCTGTTATAGATTGATTATCTTACCTGAAGAGATGTATTGGAAATAAATCAGTTATTTATCAAAAAACATTTATGGCCACCATAAGGGAAGGTTATAACCCCCACCTGCATCCCATTGGGGAAACACTCCTTCACTTCCTGTTCCATAGCTAAAACAAGAAATGAGAGAAAATCCCTCCAAAGTGAAAGAATCTTTGATTGTCACCAGAACTAGTGTCCCTGTTGGAAGATATACCCTCCATTCCTATTCTGGTGACAACCCAAAGTTTGGTATTTTCTTTGACTTTCTGCAACAATGGTAAATATACATCTGTTTACTTCAGCTTACATCCAAGGCGGTTTATGTCTGCTGTGAAAATGGAAAAAGTCTAAGCCCCTTTCTGTTTTTGCAGACATAAACAGGTGTAAACTGATGTCATCTCTTTACCTCTGTTCTGTTTACGTCATTTATTATTCAAGTACCAGTTTTCATGTTTAACCAGTTGCCGCCCGGCCTATAGCCAGATGGCGGCCAGGCGAATAGCTCCTCCCTCCGGGTGGACGCCATATGGCATCCTTTCTGGACCGCGCTTTGCCACACTGTGGCGAGATCTGTCACTGGCCCTGTACCTCGGACATGGCCGATGACAGATCTGTGTACCGGCCCTGTTGCCAGTACCATGTGACCTGCTGTGACCAATCACAGCAGGTCACATGACAGTTGTATACATTCCATGCCATCCATTGTATACAAGTGTGACTAGCTGTGAATGGTCACAGCGATCACATGCACAAGCTGGGCCAATCACAGCCCAGCTGTGTCATGTGATTAGCCGTGGCCAAATCACAGCTAATCAAAAAAAAAAAACCCTGAATGAATCGAATTCATTCAGGTAAATGCTTGCTTATAGCAAAGTGATTCTTTGCTACAAGCAACTTGTGTAAAAAAAATAAAAAAATAAAATCACTTCCCCAAAGCAGTACAATGTTACTAACATTATACTACTTTGGTCATAGTGCAATATGAAAAAAAAAATCTTAAAAAGAGAAAAAAAAAAAAAAAAATAATAAAAAAAAAAACAAAAGGAAAAAAAATTATCAAATTTTTTTTTTTCTTATTGTCACCAGTCAGTGTCTCTGATCACCGCCATGGCAGTTATATGATGGTGCTGTACTGCACTGGTGACAGTATGTAAAAAAAAAAAATAGTGAAAATCATTTTTTTAAATTCTTCATTTTCTGAAAAATTATGACAAAAAAATTACAACTTCAAAAAACTCGCCATGCCTCTTATGAAATATGTTGGACTGTCTACTTTGCAAAAAGGGGTCATTTGAAGGATATCTGTACATTCTTAGACCTCAAGAAATTAGATTGGCTGTCAGTACTTCAGGAACTGATCAATTTTCAGATATATTCCATAGCTTGCGAACTCTATAACTTTCCTACAGACTAAATAATAAATAATGGTTTGGGTTATTTTCACCAAAGAAATGTAGCAGAATACATCTTGGCCTAAATTTATGAAGAATAATTATTTCTTGTTTTTCAGTCTTTTTTTTGGTTAATTTAGCAAAAAAATAAAAACCCTGGTGGTGATTAAATACCACCAAAAGACATCTCTAGTTGTGTGCAGAAAATTATAACATTTTAGTTTGGGTACAATGTTGTATGACCTCGCAATTGTTAGTCAAAGTGTGAGAGCGCTGAAACCTGAAAATTGGCCTGGGTAGGAAGGAAGGTAAATGTGCCCGGTATGGAAGTGGTTACACATTTGTCTGCCTAAGGTCCCTTTCATACAGGCTTCCATCATGTGCCAAACAATCATTTATAGGTTCTTGGGTTTATCAGCTTCATCTGTCAGTTTTTCAGATGGACTTTATTGGAAGCTCCATGCAAGTCTATATGCATCACCTACCTCCAAGTCCCTCCAGATCCAGAAAAAAAAATAAAAAATGACTGCATCATTTTCTGATTTTTTCCAAACCTAAACTTGTTGGATCATAGGTAGCCTGATGTAAATGGAAGCAGGTCCTTTTACACCTGGTCGCCCATAGAGCCATCATGGGTCCACAATGTCTAGTGTCAATATGTAGACAAAAAAAGTCCAACTGACATCCGTCCGTTCAGATCAGATTCAGAAGGTGATCTGTTCATGGATCCCCTCTTGAACAAAATGGACACGGCCATGTGAAAGGACCCTCTGACTTTATTTTTCAACACCTAAAAAAAGAACTGGACACTTGAAAAACAGATATAAATTGATATAAACTGACCTGAAGGTAGATGTATAAATTGATGTCTAAACTGATGTAAAAGGATAAATGCGTTTATCAAATCAGTTTGGCTTTATACATAGGGCCATACAGCATGCAGAACCTGTGTAATGACATTCCCGGGAACCATACCTAGTAGTGCCCAGGGGTGGACTGACCATTTGGAAACCCGGGCACTGCCCGAGGGCCCGGGGTCAGCAGGGGGCCCCATGAGATGCCCCTGGTACCATTTTCGTAGGCTTTTTTGAGTTTGGGCAAGGACACAGGGGCCCCATGATTCCCTATTGCCTGGGGGCCCCATGAGTTGTCAGTCCTCCCCTGGTAGTGCCTTAGCACCCACATGTGCACTGAGGTATGCTTCAGACACAGATTGTGTGTGTTTGAGCATATGTAAGGACACGTGGGGGTGTTTTACGCAACCCCCAGCACATTATTGTATATTGCCACTTCTAATGCATCTCAATGGGTGGCTGTACGTGACACCAGTAGGCCCCAGAAATGTCAGTACGCAGGCTCTGCTCGCTATATGGCCTCTATGCGTCCAAATGCATGAAGCCTTTTCGTGAATGGACTGATGATTCTTTTGTAAAAGGATCCTTATTCTACATTTTTTTTGGCAACCATTATCTGTAGATCTCCAGAGATTCTGGCTATAGTAACGTTTTTCTGTGAGGCCTTGCACACCAACATAAGAAAGGGAAGGCTGTAGAATCTACAAGGATTGTATTACCAGATGTCTGAAAATAGCATCCATACATGTGCTTAGCACTTGTGTGCTGCTTAGACAGACAACCTCTCATACCCACAACATGAGGCTTTCTAAAGCTATACACAGTCTATAAACGAACGTAAATAAGTCAGCGCTGTGCCAACAGATGGCTTCATTTGTCCAAGTTTGATCTCCTGACTTGGGCTCACCGTTCCTGACCTCTGGTGCCTCCTTAGAGACTTATGCTGCCCTTACACCTGTAGGATTTAGTTAGAAAATTTTTATTTTTAGAATGTTCTTTGGATTACCGAAGCATTATGGGGGTGATTCAAAAATTGGTTTCAACCAGAGCAAGGGAAAAATATCAAATGAAATGAATGGAAATTTTTAGTTGAATCTAATGGGAATGAAGGGTTTTCTAATTGTTCCCTGATGAGGAAAATCATAACTAGTCTTATGCACACTTGTCAAAGTTAATTGAGAAGTAGAAGGTTCATTCTATGAAAATCGAGACATCGACCTACTACTCGATGAAAAGGTGTTCAAAATTGGTCGACTTCATGAAGGCACCATCGAATGGTCAGACGAGCATTTCTTTTTTTTTGTATATAAGCAAACAACTAGAACTACGCCACAGTTTCTCTACTGGACAATTAATGATGCAGCCGCTATTCCAATGATGCAATCATCAAGAAAAGTTAATTCATGGAAGGTGAACAGCGTTGCTACCTCTTATTTGAAGCTCAATATACCTAAAGTGCAAAAGTATTGTCCATATATCATAAAGTGCAAATGTGCATAATATAACCAACAATAGATTACATGAACATCAAACGCAATATCATATATGTCACCCTTGCTAGTAAAAAGAAATATTGCAACTGCAATGTTAAAAAATTCCAGTAAAAAGTGTTCAATTGTCATCTAAATTCATAAAGTATCCCATATAAAGAAAAAGTCATGTGCAAACAGAAAGAAATGTTCTCAGACAGCTTCAATTTTTCTTCCTTTTTCCACCATTCAGTGTTCTCCATCACCAAATGCACCAACTTAACCCACCAGAGAAAAATGCTAGTAATTTTAAAGTAAGTATAAAAACCAGCATACAGTGCATAAGAATCTAAGAATCAGGGTCTGCAGGTTCTCCAGGCTCAGCAGGTCTCTCTCAAGAACTCTCCATACTGGTTCTCCATAATGTTCAACCATATACACATAATCCAAAGGAGGAGAAAAAGGCTCTCATATTGTAAAACCATTCATGACTTTATTCAATAAAAGCACACCAAAACACTAGCATTAAACAGTGTCTCAACTGACAATGGTATAGCACACAAGCTCATATAGCCAAGCCAACTCCGGCTGCACTCTCAGGCTGGGACCACAGACCCAGCATGCATGATGACGTCACGTCCAATGCCCCGACCTACGTGTTTTGTTATGCAACGTCCTCCAGGGGCAGAAAAAATGAGTGATTTTTTTTTTTTTTTTTTACTTTCTCCTCCAAACGTTCAAAGAAATTCTACAAGTGTAAGACCAGCATTTAAAGAGTACACAAAGTATGTTCATCTTAGTGAATACAAGGTAAAATTTGTGTTCTTTGAATGCCCAATCATGTGCAAAAGAACAGAAAAATTGTTTTTTTTTTGTTTGTACACAATAGGGTGATTGAAGTAAGCAATCTCCAATCCTGTAGTAAATCATCCCATAAGTAATGAGCTGCCATGTTTCTCCAATGACTTCACTCTTCAGGGTTCCATTGTGGTGTGTTATTGAACATGTGTTAATGCATGTTATGACATGCATTAGGAATTCATTATGAATATTGAATAGGAATAGGCTACCATTACATGAGAACAGATGAAGGAAATGTATATAAACCTTTAATAAAGATGCAGGGTGTCACAATGCACGGTATATACGTTGTGGTGCGCTGCGGAGCATTGTACAATGGGCTCTACTGTACCATGCCTTAGGATGCCACTCACAATGAATGGCACTGTAGTGCACTGCTTATATAACAACTGCATTGGCAGGCATTGATGCATGCATTTCAGAGCGTTTTGCCACAAAGTACAAGTGTGAATGGGCCCTTAAGAAAATGAACCAGCAAGCAAAAGAAAATTCTACAGGAATCTTGACAGTAATGTCAGGATCCTGACTGGCAGCTAAGAGCCTGAGCCAGCTGCTCCCGCCCCCTCCACAGGCCGGTGTTCCAGTGAGCGCTGCAGGGGCGGAGCAGAGAGCGGTGACTGACAGTTACTGCCCTGTCTTCAGAGCAGGCCCGAGAACTGAGCGATCAGCGGTCTTTGATTACTCAGTCCTCGGTGTAGAGGCAGATCAATGCTGCAGCCATCTAGGCGAATATCTAAGTTTGTTTTTTTTTTCTAAATTATTGCACTTCTCCTTTAATGCAAAGGTGAAATTGCAACTTCTAAAGATTTACTCAGATCACCAGCTTATTATTACAGGTATTTATATAGCACCGTCAATTTACACAGCGCTTTACGTATATGTATGTACAAAATACATATTTATATATATACATATAAATATATTTTGTACATTCACATCAGTCACTAAACCTCAAGGAGCGTACAATCTAAGCTCCCTAACTCACATCATACATATCCATAATAAAGGGCCAATTTAGACAGAAACCAATTAACCTACCAGCATGTCTTTGGAGTGTGGGAGGAACCCGGAGTACCCAGAGGAAACCCACCCAGGTACAGGGAGAACATGCAAACTCCAGGCAGGTGGTACCATGGTTGGGATTTGAACCAACGACCCTAGTACTGCCTGGTGGAAGTGCTAACCATTTAGCCACTGTGCTGCTATGACCACTGACAGGTTATAATATTGATTCTCTTGTTACAATGAACAAGTGGGTGGTATATATTAGGTGGTAAGTAAACACGTTGTCCCTTAAATTGATGTGTTGAAAACAGACAAAATGGGCATCACAGTTTGTTGCATATTGGGTTGTGTACCCGCAGACTGTTCATGGTGTCAATGCTAACCCATATCCACAGCCAAACATAGGACATGTGAGCATCAGGACTGGAGCACGCAGAAATGGAAGAAGGAGCCTGCCACCACAACAAGTTAGATTGTTTTGAGCAGGACCCTACACTAACTGCAGTACCTAATATATCCTCCCCTAGCAGATCTAAGAAAAGGAAAAGAACTCCAAAGCAAAAAAACAAAGAGACCCTAAATTTAACTTCCCCCATATATTCAACAAAGATATATCCCAACCCAGCAAAGAGACATCCCCATATTGAAAAGAGATAGTCCTATATAGCAAGAGTTATCCCAATCCAGCAAACAGACAGCCCAATTCAGCAAAAGCATTCCCATATAGCAAAAAGACATCCCAATCCAGCAAAGAGAAATCCCCATATAGCAAAGAGACAACCCAATAAAGCAAAGGCATTCCCATATAGCAAAGAGACAGCCCAGTCCAGCAAAAAGACATCCGCATTTAGAAAAGAGGCAGACCACTCCAGAAAAAAAAGACATCCCCATATAGCAAAGGGCCCAATCCAGCAAACAGACATTCCCATATATTCAACAAAGGGAAATCCCAATCCAGCAAAGAGACATCCCCATATAGTCAGCAAAGAGACATCCCCATATATTCAGCAAAGAGACATCCCCATATATTCAGCAAAGAGACATCCCAATACAGCAAAGAGACATCCTCATATAGCAAAGAGACAGCCAAATCCAGCAAAGAGACAGCCCAATCCAGCAAAGCTAATTGCATATAGCAAAGAGACAGCCCAATCCAGGAAAGAGACAGCCCCATATAGCAAGGAGACATCCCCATATAGCAAAAAGATTACCCAATCTAGCCAAGAAATGTATTTTCTGTAACAACATGAGGTGAAACTGAAGGCTTGGTTGGTTTAATTTCTAACCTGGAGGCTAGCGGCAATCACTGTAGTAGTGGTGCCTACTACAATGATTTCCATCTTCCACAGATACTCACAGGTATGACACCTACATACTTACACTGTCCAAGCCAGACCCATGTAACTATGTAAAAGTTGCCATATCTGAACTTCAGCTTTCAGGTATTCCTTTTGCATCTAATGGGCCCTTAACAAGCCTCAACTCACAAAAGGACCTACCTGAGCTACTTTTTGGCCACAGTGCATCACAATGCACAAAGCACGTGTTTGTTTACGATTTATACAGTATATATCTTGGGGTGCTCGTCAGAGCAAATGGCAATCCACTGCAAAGAATCACGAGTTGTGGTCTGCACTAGTTTGCTCATCATAATGTGCACGAGTGCAAGTTAGAACACATGAACAAAGCCTGTTTCTCTTTGCTATTGAGAGATTGACACCAGGCTACCTCATATGCAGCACACTAAAATTATTCTGATACTTAGTTCTCATCAACCGGCGTGTACATAACCGTGTGATCATGGGGGTGTGGGTGGATGGATGTGTTCCGGGGCCATCACACACACATATTGAAGCCACTCCCAACTGACAGAAATGGGAATGGTTGCACAGGAATACATTGAACACCTGTGCTGGTAAATATGGCCCTCCACAGGCATATGGTTATGT